ACTTCACTATCCTAAGTATAGTCCTTATTTTGTTTCATGACTGTTTACTTCACTATCCTAAGTATAGTCCTTGTTTTTTCATGACTGTTTACTTCACTATCCTAGGTATAGTCCTTGTTTTTTCATGACTGTTTACTTCACTATCCTAAGTATAGTCCTTATTTTGTTTCATGACTGTTTACTTCACTATCCTAAGTATAGTCCTTATTTTGTTTCATGACTGTTTACTTAACTATCTTAAGTATAGTCCTTGTTTTTTGAATATTCACATTCAAGTGGTTCCAAAAATTGTTAAATTCACCCAATTACCAGCTGAATGGAAAATTAAGGAAATATCATGGAAAGAAATAATACATAATTAATTAAAAGGTTTTTATTATAATATTAATAGGTAATTAACAGATAATATAATTTAGGTACTAATGTATTCTTCTAATAATTATGTCATACATAACTAAGTAATTAAGCTACTAAAAGATCCCATTCTGATACATAATCTGTACATTTGATCCGAAACTTACAAACAAAACTTACAAACTTATTTTGAAACTATTCACTACCTCTTACAACACTCAGTGTAAGTTTGTTTGTTTGTTTATCCACCACAGGTATTGAAACCCAGGCTTTAGTGTTATAAGCCTTCAGATTCACCGCTGAGAATCAGCATAAAGACCCATTAAAAAATTGGGTGAAATAATTCAATTTTTTTTTAAAGTTTATGGGAATTCCAGCAGTAATTGGCAGGACTAAGCTCTGATACTGATAGTATTTCTGTTTACACTTTTTATGTGTGATTCATACATTATCAGGAACTCTAGGACTAAACTCTGATACTGATAGTATTTCTGTTTACACTTTTTATGTGTGATTCATACATTATCAGGAACTCTTGGGCTAAACTCTGATACTGATAGTATTTCTGTTTACACTTTTTATGTGTGATTCATACATTATCAGGAACTATAGGACTAAACTCTGATACTGATAGTATTTCTGTTTACACTTTTTATGTGTAATTCATACATTAACAGGAACTCTAGGACTAAACTCTGATACTGATAGTATTTTTGTTTAAACTTTTTATGTGTGAATCAAATATATCAGGAACTCTGTAATCAAGAAAGTCATAGACCAACAAGCACCTTTGTGAATAAATAGTCTAGAGAAATGTCTTTCAGAAACAACTATACAAGACTCTCAATTAGATCATAGAGTTAAAGTACAACAAGGTTTATTTTAAGATGACGTCCAATATTAGCTGTGAATAAAAACCCTATAATCCAAGTGTTTTCGATAAGTCCACCTTTTGAAAGTGCTCGGGATATAGGTTTTTTCATGTCATACCTGTTTTTACAAATTTTATTAGGATAATTCATGCATCTTCACTCTCCCCACACCTCCATAAAAAATGTAAAACTTCTATATACAAAATCCACCTTACTATACTTGATTTACTATTATATTAACAAAGACCCATCTGGAGTTACAAGCAGAAAGCATCCATTTTCTTAGTTCTAAAGACTCACCTGGAGATACAAGCAGAAAGCATCCATTTTTCTTAGTTCTAAAGACTCACCTGGAGATACAAGTATGCATCCATTTCTCTTAGTTCTAAAGACTCACCTGGAGATACATGCAGTATGCATCCATTTTTCTTAGTTCTAAAGACTCACCTGGAAATACAAGCAGTATGCATCCATTTTTCTTAGTTCTAAAGACTCACCTGGAGGTACAAGCAGTATGCATCCATTTTTCTTAGTTCTAAAGACTCACCTGGAGATACAAGCAGTATGCATCCATTTTTCTTAGTTCTAAAGACTCACCTGGAGGTAAAGGCAGTATACGTATGATGTTTTCTTTGGTTCTTTCAATAAGACAACCAGGTAGGTTAATGCACATAGGAAGAGGCTGTGCTTGTGTGGAAACGCTGGAAAACTGGTCATCCTAGGTTAAATGTAAAGGAAGATACACAGTTGGTGCCAAATGATCTCTGAATCACGCAATTTTGTAATTTATTGTTTCTTTGTTTGTTTATCAGTTTTATAAGTACACAAGTTTTACATTTAAGATATTAAACCTGTTAAATTATAAGCATGAAATACCAGAAACAAAAACTTATAAAGATTAGGATGCAATGATTTATCAGTTGGGGGAACTCTCACTGTTAAGAACATTTTTAGGCCTAATAATAGTAAAGAATGCTCATCAAGCTGAAGAAATTTAACTTAATCTTGGGGTTATGTTCAAAGGTAGTAATCATTAGGGTTAAAGTTCTAGGTTTATCACTTAATAAAAGGAACACTCCTACACTTTCTCAAATTCCAGATAATATATAAATATTAAAAAAAACGGAAATGATATAAAAATATTCTTCTTACACTTTTACATTTTCCCAGTAATAATAAAAAACAAAGTTTTACATTATGCTATAAAAAAACACAAAATTAGAAAAAAAATTTTTGTTTTGTTGTGTACCATGAGATTGATACATAATAGAAAAAAACATTTCAACTCTCATGCAACAATTATAAATGAATGGTTGTAATTACTAAATTAAAGCTTTAACTGACAATGAGTCATTCAGAACTCTTGTTTGTACAGTTTTTGTTACAATTTCATCTTTAAAATATAATTAGTAAAAATAAATATTCAATTTAAATATCAATGTATTCATTCAGAATTCCTGATAGTACAGTTTCATTGTTAAGATGTAATTACTAAAAACTGAGTTTATTTTAACTGTCTATGATTCAATCAGGATTCCCAATAGATAAACTTTGTCAGCATTCCATTTTTAAGATATGATAAATAAAAACACTTCAATGATTCAATCACATCTCCTGATATCAGAGTTACTTCTTGAAGATATGATTACTAAGAACTGCTTATTTTAACTGTCTATGATTCAATCACATCTCCTGATATTAGAGTCACTTCTTGAAGATATGATTACTAAGAACTGCTTATTTTAACTGTCTATGATTCAATCACATCTCCTGATATTAGAGTCACTTCTTGAAGATATGATTACTAGGAACTGCTTATTTTAACTGTCTATGATTCAATCACATCTCCTGATATTAGAGTCACTTCTTGAAGATATGATTACTAAGAACTGCTTATTTTAACTGTCTATGATTCATTCACATTTCCCGATATTAGAGTTACTTTTTTAAGATAAGATTACTAAAAACAAACCTTCAATTTAATTTTCAATGAGTCAATCAGGATTCTTGAAGGCACAGTTTCTGTCACAATTTCATCTTTAAGAAATGCACCAATTCCCGAACACGAGCTCATAAGCACATCCAAATCAATATTCTGGACCAAACATGTCAGGTAGCCAATGTCTCCTGCCTCCTGGTAACAAGATGTTGCTGCTGATCCTTGATCAAACCTCAAAATAAGCTTAAATTTTCCTTTCAGATTGTTTGACTGACTGTTCTTCCAAGAACGAGATTCTTTCAAGATATAGAAAAGACCAATTTTTAAGAGAAAAAAGTTAATTACAGCAAGAAGTTTTTGACTACTTTCGAAACTGGCAAATATTCAAAGTAGAAGAATTAATTAATCAATCACAGATGCACACATACATAAATATACTATTTATGTAATTGTCCTTTCATGGCCATAAAAGTAAGAAATATATATAACTATCAACTTATCACTTGAACGACTTATATATTTGTAATATTTAAATATACATAATATTTATAGGGTGATGATTTTTACAAACACGATATAAAAATCAACAAAGGCATCAAGTTTCTACAAAATCAAAAGCACACGTACAATGCTTGTTACAGTATCTAGGATGATAATCAGACGAAATAGTACAATGCTTGTTACAGTATCTAGGATGATAATCAGAGGAAAGAGTAGTACAATGCTTGTTACAGTATCTAGGATGATAATCAGACGAAAGTGTAGTACAATACTTGTTACAGTATCTAGGATGATAATCAGATCTGATTATCATCCTAGATACTGTAACAAGCATTGTACTCTTTCGTCTGATTATCATCCTAGATACTGTAACAAGCATTGTACTCTTTCGTCTGATTATCATCCTAGATACTGTAACAAGCATTGTACTCTTTCATCTGATTATCATCCTAGATACTGTAACAAGCATTGTACTACACTTTCGTGAAAGAGTACAATGCTTGTTACAGTATCTAGGATGATAATCAGATGAAAGAGTACAACGCTTGTTACAGTTACTACGATGATAATCAGAGGAAAGAGTACAATGCTTGTTACAGTATCTAGGATGATAATCAGACGAAAGAGTACAATGCTTGTTACAGTATCTAGGATGATAATCAGAGGAAAGAGTACAATCAGAGTATTCAAAATGTGATATCTAATATGCTTACCAAAACAGTAATGAATAAACCTGAAGACAAAATGGGGAGTAATATTTCCCAGATTATAAAGCGTACGCTAAAATACACGAAAACAGTCGTTATTCCCACAACAAGACATGTGAAATATTGTGTATTTTTTCGGTCATAAAGAACAACAACAACAGTCGTTATTCCCACAACAAGACATGTGAAATATTGTGTACTTTTTCGGTCATAAAGAACAACAACAACAACAGTCGTTATTCCCACAACAAGACATGTGAAATATTGTGTACTTTTTCGGTCATAAAGAACAACAACAACAACAGTTGTTATTCCCACAACAAGACATGTGAAATATTGTGTACTTTTCGGACATAAAGAACAACAACAACAACGAACATCATATAATGTTCTTTCCTAATTACTAACTTGATGAGAAATGATTTTGAAAGCTCTCCCACGAAATGGCACTGTCTTCTTCTACTTCCAAGTGACAAGTTTTTAATAACACTGAGGAACTTGCACCAACAAACAGAACTACTGTTTCCACTCCCTCAAATTTCAGGGTTACTCTTGAAATTTGCTGAAAGAAGAAGAAAAGAAACTAAATGAGAAAAGGAGGTTAACATTCAAAATTTATTTGCGTTTTACTTTTAATGTAACTTTTTAAAATTCTAACAATATTCTCAAAGCCCAAACGTTTTTCTGTAAAACATATTAAACAGAGGAGAAAGTAAAAAAAAAGCTTAAATTTGTAAAAACTGAAGATACTAGAGAAAATATCTATGACTGAACAGAGTAAAAGTTTATTAATTAAAACGAGTTTTTTTCATCTAATGAGACGTATCTGTATGTGTAAATTATATTATTGAAATATAGCTATTAGGATTCAGTATATATTCCTCCTAGAAATTCAGTTTTAGTCATATCTGTACAGATGAACATTTTTCAATAAAATACAATCACAATTTTGAAGTGAATCAATGAGATTTTAAACGACGATAATTTTGAGGACCTTACTGTCAGCTTTAAAGTTAACCGCATTTCAACGTTTGTTTATTTTACATAAACATTAAGTAAAGGAAAGGAAAAACAGAAAAAAAAAACTTTAATAATACAAGTTCTTTTTAAAATAGGCAGACTTACGACAACGCCAGTTAAGAACTTTAAAACCTTTCTAGTGTTTTTTCAACACGTGATTGTAATAAATGATATCAATAAAATCTTGATAATTTACATCACTGTAATTTATATCAATATTATATCCTATAATAATTAAAAGGATGGTATTTTTCAACCCATTAAATTATTTATAAAAAGAAAAAGGTCACAACTGAGTTGTGGAAATCAGTGTGTAAATTTTTTATTGTTTTTTTATGAATCACGATCTTTGATTACAAGTGAACAACAGTCAACATTCTATATATTTTCCAAATTTTTTTATCCTTCTAATTGTCTAAAATTATGATTTGTTTGCTTTATAAAACTCAGTCTACCTACAAAGATCCGGGGGGTAGTACAGACCGAAATTGGACAATAAATACCAAGGAATCAGAATTTATAACAGAGAAACATGATTATATATCACACATTTGAAAAGTGAATAAATATGTAAATTCATATTTTATAAAATACCATCAACCAAGTTCTTGTTGAGCATAATGATATAGTTGTACTAAGTTTAAATTTGGGTGTAAGTATTTGCAATTATGGCAAAGTTACTAAGGTTATCTCTGCCACTGTATGTAACTAATGGCCATGGCAAAGTTACTAAAGTTAACTCTGCCACTGTATGTAACTAATGCCCAGATGGAAGGCAGCAAATTAGTATTAACCTACAGCCCGTGCTAAGGGATTGATTGCCACTCATTTTCTACCATAGGACAAAACTTGTACCCCCTCC